TACAGCCCCCTCGCTATCACCATCATCGCCATCTCGCGCCTGATGGCCACGTAACGCCTGATGGCCACCTAACGCCGGATGGCCACCTAACGCCGGATGGCCACCTAACGCCTGATGGCCACCTAACGCCGGATGGCCACCTAACGCCGGATGGCCACCTAACGCCGGATGGCCACCTAACGCCGGATGGCCACCTAACGCCGGATGGCCACCTAACGCCGGATGGCCACCTAACGCCGGATGGCCACCTAACGCCGGATGGCCACCTAACGCCGGATGGCCACCTAACGCCGGATGGCCCATGCTCTCAAGCCCGTGTCCTACCTACCTTCAGTCGCCACTGACTGCCCAGCTGCGAAATATTGGCCCGCAGCCGGCCCTCGACATCGCACGCCAACAGCTCCGGAACCTGTCGTACAACCCGTGCCGCCTCCTCCACCGTCATACCCAGATCCCCCCGCAGTACTTGTACGGCACTCGTTACCTGGTCCGGCTGGGGCAGCTCCTCAACCTAGAGAAAGGGAAGGGGGTTGGTGGGGGGGAGGGGTGTGCGGGTTTGCGGGGAACACTACAGCCCCCTCGCTATCACCATCATCGCCATCTCGCGCCTGATGGCCACGTAACGCCTGATGGCCACCTAACGCCGGATGGCCACCTAACGCCGGATGGCCACCTAACGCCTGATGGCCACCTAACGCCGGATGGCCACCTAACGCCGGATGGCCACCTAACGCCGGATGGCCACCTAACGCCGGATGGCCACCTAACGCCGGATGGCCACCTAACGCCGGATGGCCACCTAACGCCGGATGGCCACCTAACGCCGGATGGCCACCTAACGCCGGATGGCCACCTAACGCCGGATGGCCACCTAACGCCGGATGGCCACCTAACGCCGGATGGCCACCTAACGCCGGATGGCCACCTAACGCCGGATGGCCACCTAACGCCGGATGGCCACGTAACGCCTGATGGCCACGTAACGCCGGATGGCCACGTAACGCCTGATGGCCACGTAACGCCTGATGGCCACGTAACGCCTGATGGCCACGTAACGCCTGATGGCCACATAACGCTCCTCATGCTATCATTCCCTTCACCATCACCATCGCATGTTCAGCCGCAGGACAATCCTCCTCCTCAGGCAAATCTTCAGCAATCAAAACCCAAAGTGAACCCACCTAGGTAGGGACTACACCGAACGACGGAAAACACACACACTCCACCTCCAGCTGCACTCCCCTCCCAGTCCCCTCCCAGTCCCCTCCCGTCCTCTCCACCCCACCCAGTCCTCCTAGTCTTCCCCCCCTCCCCTCCCTCTCCCTCGAATCATCAAAATATTTACGTGATTTGGTTAGCAATTTTATCGTAAGGCTACTATAGCATCGTTGCGACAACAGACGGTAGATGCTAGCGTTTGGAGCGTAAGGTTTTGCCTAAACCCTAATAAAAAGCAGTAAGGAAAAAAGTGATTGCTGCGGGTAGTATTAATCCGCAAATTGCTAAAATCATTTACTGGTAACATCTTTGTTTTTGAAGAAAAAACCATCACTTACAAAGATTGCTGCGTAAATGGCGTGCAAGTAATAACGGATATATATTAATATTCCGGCGCGGAATAGAGGTTTATTTCTATACTATCGAAAAAGAAATTAAAGGAAGTCGAATTAAACGCAAAGCTCCCTTCCTCCCCCTTCCCCCCTCTCCTCGTCCTCTCCTCCTCCCCTCCTCCTCCCCCTCCTCTCCCCTCCCTTCCTCCCCCTTTTCTTCCTCCTCCTCACCTTTTTTTCCTCCTCCACTTTTTCCTCCTCCTCCTCGGCCCCCTTCTCCTCCTCCCCCTCCTCCTCCCCCTCTCCTCCCCCCCCTCCTCCTCCCCCTCTCCTCCCCACCTTCTCCTCCCCCTCTCCTCCCCCCTTCTCCTCAACCCACCTCCTCCTCCCCCTCCTCCTCCCCCCCTCCCCCTCTCCTCCTCAGCCCACCTTCTCCTGCCTCCAGAACGCCTGGCTGGTCCAGCCGAAGCCCCGGGCCAGCAGCTTACTGCCCTCCTGGAGCCCGATACCCAGCTCGCTCTCCAACACCGCACAGCTGGCCTGAAAAGACAAGGGGAAAGAAGAGGGAGAGGAAGGGGGAGAAAGGGACGGGGGAAATCACATTCAAGTTGCAAAGAGCGATGAGAGGAGCCCCATGGGAGGAATCACGTGTCGACGAAGAGAAGAGAAGGCACGGGGGGAGACGAGAGGGGCGACATGCGGGGCAGAAAAACACACACGCACATGCACACGCACCTTCCACGCGCCCTCTTCCTCCTCATCGAGGTCCCTGCTCAGAGCAGCCGCTACAACGCCGGAAGGGGAAGCACGGGTGGCCACAGCGGACGCAGCCGCCATCCCAGTCTCTGCCCTCGAGCCAGGTCTCAATGCCGTTCCTGACCCAGGCCTGGACCGAGGCCTTGGCTGCGGTAGAACCTCCCAGCTCCTCCCCAAACTTGCCGTTGACCAGCACCGCGTGCATCGCTGCGAGCTCTGATGGAAGGAGCTGGAGACGCAACAAAGGGTTGCAGCGCTAGCGCTAGATTGGAACGCATATGCTTTAGAGTCTGCGTGGAGTCTGATGGCACGTGGATGGAGCACGCAGCGAGGGTTGGCTGTCAACGTTGCCATCCCCCAGGAATGACCATGTGCTCGTTCGGCCTGGAATGGGATGGGATTGTAGGATGTGCGAGAGAGAGGGCTAAGAGCACGTATAATGATCCGGGAAATATTTAACAAGAAATCCGGAGCTTAGTGAAAAGGTGAGTCGATGCTTGCACGAAAGTGGAGACCGCACCTCCAATTTTGTCCCCGACAAAGGAGACATAGAGTTTGTTGCTCTGTTTATATGAAATACTCGCGGATAAAGGACAGGCCGATCTTACTGGAGATAACTTCAGGCGGAAACCAAGTAGAGCTGATTGTTGGGTCCAAATCCCCAGCACCACCAAACAAACAAAACTGTATTTTGAGGCAAGCCGCTCAGTACTTTGGGAACTCATATAAAATATAAATGCGCTCACGAATGTGCAACATGCTAGCAATGCCGTGCAAACCGCCGGGTAACTCATCAGCCACACATAAGCTGCATTGTTTTATCGAAGGGGGCCACCCGCGTGTACGCGCTATGTGCCATCTAGTAAATAGTAACTACTATACGTTTCCATGGTAAGCAGGCCGTATCGTGCGAACACCGCAAGTTCAATTCATCATTATCTGTCCCTACGGCAGGTAAAGCGCTGAAGCTGTAATCCCTATATCCAAAACATGCAGCTTGGATAGTAAGTATTTTTTCAATTTTCATTGTCCGCTTGTTGGCCCAAGGGACCGTTGTCTAGTTCCAAGCGACGGGCTGTTGCTTCGAACCAAATCAAGCGATGCTCCTTCTGGACACTATTTTCGACACTGCGCTAATTTATACTACATCCATACATTTCGCACTCCATGCTGAACTGCATCCCCACATTATCTCCTTCACTCCTGCACACTGCTAGACCCCTCCACCTCTATATATACCTCCAAAATCCCCTCCATAAATCAACCCCGTTCCATCGTTCCCCGTTCCGTTGTTCGCCGTTCAGGTCCATCACAACGAAACTTCATCACACCACGCCATAGCGCACCCTAGCACAGCGTAACGTAAGCTAACATCTCAAAGATCAAAACGTCCTGCTGACCCGCCAGCTGACCTGGTCAACCTGCCGGGCTAGTAGATTCCGTGTCATGGCACAGCAGCTACTGCCATCTCCCTCCAGCCCCTTTCCCCTCCTCCCACACCCGTCAAACGTCCCACCTCTGTCGCCGCTTTTGTCGGACTCCACGACCTTCACCATCACCATCACCATCACCATCGCCATCACCATCACCATCACCATCACCATCATCACCGTCTTCACCACCATCACTGCGTCCAGCCGCTTCGTAATCACTGGTCCAACAGGTCGTCGGCGGCCTTCTGTCTACCTTCGCTGAACCTCGATAAGATCCGCGATCTGAATGACCCACGGGCCAGTCGTCCCTTCCGCCGCCGCCGCCGCCGCCGCCAATGACCCATGGAGCAGCGGCTCCGGCACCGGCGTTTGTCCTTCCACCTTGCGCGGCTCCCCCGGCAGCCGTGTCCACTGATGCAGGCGATAGTAGTAGCTATTGTTATTCCGGGCGGGGGCTTGGACTGGCCTCATGTTTCCCCTTAGCAGACAATGAACGGGACACCGTCGTTGTCGTACGGGTGTTGCTGCTGCAGCTCGAGGGAGAGCTGCAGCAGTAGCAGGAGGAGCAGGAGCAGGAGGAGAAGCAGGTCAACCTCACCTTCCTCATCATCATCGTCGTCACCGCAAACGCCACCTTCGACCGCGATTCAAGAGGCAGCAACGCCCGGACGTCCTGGACGTTGTTTGCCACTCCGTTGTCGTACTGCATAGAAACAAGTAAGTGCTGTTTTATAATAGGAGTGCTAAGCCACGTCGGGAAGAAGGCACAGGAATTCGGGAGATGAGAGGAGCTTATGTCGTCGTTACGCGGACCCACCATCGTTCGCAGGAATTCCGTTTATGTTAAGGGTTTGAGTTTGGTGGCTACCTGACCTCTATGAAATTTATCTTTGCGCTTGGGGCAATGTCGCAGCCTATGAGATCTAATCGAGGCGCGACTATTGCTGGTTGAAAACTTATTCCTTCCCCGTCGGTCGTGTCCTTCGGGACCTTCCGCAATATTTGGCGGTCTTCGGACCCATACCTAATAAATTAAGTGTAACGTGTGATTTCCTTGACCGTCACGTCATTAGCGGGCTGTAATATGATGTTTGTTATCGTTCCTAGCGAAGAAAGGCTAGTTTCAGCCTGGCAGGTGGGGCAGGGAAAGCTTTGAGTTGTTGGTTTTGGGTTTGGGTTTTGGGCACGTTCTCTGTGGCTCTTTTCCTTCTATAATTATGTTTTTTGTTTTGTGTTACTGCCGGTATCTTCTTTGTTTGCAGTTTTAACCAAATCATGTCGTTTTTCTCCCCTCCCTTCCCCTCGCCTCCGACTGGCCCTCCGCTGTGTCCCATCCCCCCGGTCATCCCAACACCGCACCTCTCCCTCCTCACTGTGCGGCACCCAGAGACCAGCTGCCTATGGCCCTTCGAGCGCCAAAAGCGCGCGCAGGACTCGAGGAGCCGCGAGAAACCGCTGCCGAGCTGCTGCGTCTACAAAGCAATGGTACGGCACTGTGCCAGAGCAGGCGCTGCTGGAGGAAAAGCTGTGTATAAAGATGAAACTCAAAATCAGATCCAGAACCGTAGCAGGATCCTTACCCGAAATCAGATACTGACACCCCCTGACATCCCCCGCACTCCTGTTCTCAATTAATTTTGCTTAAGGGTTCTGTTGGGGGGTTCTGGGACCCGGAGGGGTCCCCCCCGTCCCAGCGCTCCAGTCCCCCCCGGTGCCTCAGCCCCTCCGAGCACCTCACCTCGCGGCTAAGGAATACTTCCCAGCCTGGCATGGAAAGTCATTCCCTGGTGGTTTGGAATATGGAAATTGAACCCCCTAAAACAAATAAACGCTGTGGTTTTGTTGAGCCCTCGACCCTACCCGTCAGCTCCCTTATTCCTTTTCGGCGGCCGTACGTTTGCTCAACCTTTCCCTTCCCATTTTACCCACTTTCCCTTCCCTTACGTCAACTCACCTTCCCTTCACTTCTCTTTCTTTACCTGCCCCGCTGGCCCGGGTACGCACACGGGGGGGGGTGCCTTCTAGACTTCCTCGCACTCATGAAACCGGACTGGAACACGCCCCGCAGCGGAATCTGGATCCGGATTTGAATCCAGGTCGGCCTGAGGTCGCACTGGCTGTGAGCCGCTTCCTATCGGATATCATGTATTCGAGTCGGCTCGCGAAAGCTGGGATTTTCAGCTGGTGGGGGCTGGTGATGGGTGATGGGGTGGGCGAGAGGGGTGGGTGGGTGGACAACGGGGGTTCGCAGGCGCACATGATGCACCTTCAGCCTCAGGGCTGCTCTCTTTCGTTTCAGATTGTCCGTTCATGTGGTGGTGGTGGCCACGTGTGCATCGTGTAATGTAGCCAATCAAGCGTCTGTACGTTTGTGTATGTATGATGTTGTTACAGGGTGGTATAGCTTCACCAGCGGCCCCCTTTCCCGAGGCAGTTCCCTGCTCTCCCCTGCGAGAGGGGCACCCTAATCCGTTCACCCCATCCGACTTCAGATTGTAATCGTTGGGTTCAGCAACTCACCACCAGCATCCAACCAAATCTAGCGGATCAACGGCGCCTCAACTTAGTTCCTGGTTAGCTCGCAAGTTGATATTATCACGTCCTACACCGTCCATAAGATGGGGGCCCACCTCCCATTTCAACACTTCTCAACCACCCGAGAAGTCGGCAGGCGGATTTGAACCCGGACGTAAATGTATGTGTGTATGTGTATTTCTGCGCATTGTCAAACTGAGTCGTCCGGCAAGGGATGAGCTAAAAAGCCCAAAATGTTGGCAGCCCTCGCCAAAGGAATCCGACCAACCGAACCAACCGCGACGGGTATAAAAGGCAGGTGGGAGAATGTGTAGGGTCCAGCCAGCTCACGACCTCCTCAACCACCTTATCAAACGACTAACCAACCAACGATTTCCAACCGCAGAACGTGACCGGCTCTCCGAGTCCTACCCACACCGGCCCTGCTTCGCCGCCGCCGCACTGCCGCCACCACGACGTTAACCCCAAGAACGAACACCCGGGGCGATCAGTCGACGATGACGCTGCCGCCACCGCCGCTGCTGCTGCTGCTGCGACCTCTGCTGCTGCTGCTGCTGCCGCCTCCGCTACAGCTGGAGATGTTGCTGATAGACATAAAATAGGTGTTGCTGTCGCCACTGGCGGCTGAATTGAAATAGACGTACTTCTGGTACGGCAGAGGTGGCGTGGGGTACTGCAGCCTCAGCCTCGGCGGACTCCGGGGCTGAGCGGGCCAGGTTCCCAAAAAGTGTGGACGTGGTGACACTGGCTAGCTGTCTGAGACCCAACCTCACCCAACCTCACTCGACGTCACCGCAAATCAGCCTGAGCCGGTTGATCGCTCTGCTAGGTGTGTTCGTGGAGATGGCAGTGGGCGGGAGGAAAGGTGCGAGGTGGGGCCGGCATGAAGGGAATGGAGATGAGATCCGGAAGATTTGCTGCGCTGATGGGTGGGGTATTGGATGGGTGGGGTAAAGCCTTGAAAAATGGGTTGGGGGGGGAAGGAGGGGCAGGGAAGGCGCGGAAAAGTGGATTTTAGGGAGTATCGGGGGAAGGGGCTCTGGGGGGCTTGCGTCATTTCGATATGGGTGGTGAATGCTTGTGTGTGACGGTTTGCCGCAGCACCGGCGATTCGCTGTTTTGACTTTTGCTTTTTGCAGCAGGTCAAATGCTTTGTGCGTTTCTCCTAGGTTAGTTGCTTATATTGGTAAAATTGTCTTCTAAGCCACGCGCCCACAGGTTCTAATTGACCCGTTAGACAAGACGCAGCAAGTTAGCCACTGGTCCCAACGTCCTCTTTCGGCAGGTCAGGTCTTGACGGATGCATGATGTTTGACGATGCGTTGATGGGTCTGGAGGGCTTGATTACTGTTCTGCAAGATGGTAATCAGGAGTTTGCAATGAAGGAAGAATTTTCGCGTGCGTACAAAATATTGCAGGTCGTAGCACCTCACCAGAGCAGGTGCGGACTGTCGTACATCAAGAAACCTGTTCACCGTTTCATGAAATTTGATTGATTGTGGAATTTAATGTAACAGCTTGGAGCTTTGGGTACATAACCTTACGGATATCTGAGGGTCTTCCTGTATGGCTATAAATTCTTCAAAGGAGCCACGACTAGCTCTCTCTAATGAAAACGTTGACTACTACATGCGTATTTCACGTCAAGAGTTATATTTTTAGCCTTCTATACTCATTAAGCTCTTGATGTGACTTGTAAGAAGGTTGTGTGGACCACCGTAGGTTGTGTTGTTATTACAATTTGTATATATAGGATAAACCTTAAAATGGCAGACGAAATATCAACGGAGCTGACGGCAACACAATATGTCATCCTTGCGGAGTGAGTGCCTCACCATTTGAACCATGGCGTTAGTTTTGGCCTAGGAACGTCTAATAGAAGTAGACGTTGTGAGAATTATAGCTTAACCAGTCAAAAACATGGTCTCTGCTAATGGCCCATTTCGGGATGCTTTCAACCTGGCAGAAACCAGCGCAAGAAAAAGGCGCTGGCGGAGACGAAAAGCCAGTTCAGCAAAATTGCCGATGAGAACCGCGTGCTGCTCAAGCAGCTGGAGGACAACCAGCGGGAGAACTACCAGGTGGGTCGTTGCGTGCACGCGTGCACGTACCACCAAGCTTAACCCCCCTAATGATCCCCCATGGTGGAGCTCAACTCCACGGCCATGGCCATCAAACTCCGCGAGGGTGACTATCTGTAAGCAACCTGCACTGTAATGCCGTCCACTACCCTACCCGCCACGTGGCCAGCGGGCTTCCGGATGGCATTTTCCAAGGGCTGTTCTCCGCTCCCCCCTCGCCCCGAGAATCCGTCCCCATGCCCACATCCCCGGCACGCTACACGTACTGCATTATTACTTTCCTCTGACCCGGCTCACTCAAGCCTATGCAGAGTGGTGGCCGTGGGTTACAGCAATTTACGATAAGTTACAAGTTCCGAGAAAAGGGGGGTTTAGCTTTTTGATAAAGCCAGCCTGGGGGGGGGGAGGGAGGGGAACCCTAAAGCCGTTACAAAGGACGCGTCAATCAACTCACTCAAACTCACTCCAACTCACTCCAGCTCATTCCTGGTGGGTGTCTACCTGTGCCTTGAAGAGGCCAAACCCCCGACTACGAGCTCTTCTCAATACCCCACCCCCCGACCCCGCCCTTCCCCGGGGGCCCCCCCTCACGTTCCCCACATTTTGCCTAAATGCCTGGTGACACATCAAGTCCTTCGTCACTCAATCTAACCCGGTGTTTTCGGTTCCTGTGGTTTCCAGTGTCGGCATGTATGTATTGTCGGCGCCGCAGCCTCTTGGGCTTCTTTTTCTGAGCGTTAAGACATATCACCATCTCCTCCCCACTCCGACTCGGCATGTGTGTTGTACATTAGTCGACACGGACACGCTGTTCGCGCTGCTGCCTGACATACATACATACATACATACATACATACATACATACATACATACATACATACATACATACATACATACATACATACATACATACATACATACAGGTTACAGAGCACCTCCGTCGAGAGTTGCTCGCCAAGACGGAGAAGATCGCTGCATTGGAAGCGGACCTAGTCAAGGTGGGTGGGTGGGGGATTGCCGGGGGTGGGGGGAAATGTATGATGGTGGTGGGTGCCGGGGGTCCTTGAATGGGGGACGCGGGGAACACCCGGGGGGTTGAGTTGCGGGGAAGTCCTGTGTGTCTTTTTGGTTGGAAAGAGCTCGCCTCAGAATGGCCCTTGGATGGACCGGGGAGGTGAACGAAGATAAGTGGAGTAAGAGGAAGAGGAGGAGGAGGAGGAGGTTGAGTACTGTGGACCCGTCACGAAACTCCACCTCACGTTTGTCCGTTTGTTAGTCTATTTCTGTATGTGTGTCCCTCTGTACCGCATTGTTGGGCCCTGGCTGGCGTCACTGACGTCACTTCCTCCCTCCCTCCCTAACGGGCTGCCATGCCGTACAGTTGGCCCAAGACAAGGATGCGGAGATGCTGGCTTTTAAGGAGGCCTCTGACAAGGAGAAGGCCAAGATTCGGGCGGACGGGGAGGCGCGGGCGAAGGAGCTTCAGGCGACCATTGACTCGTTGCAGGTAGAGTGGGTTACCGTACTGCCGTATATTGCCGTATGTTGCCGTACTAGCGCAAGGGGGGGTTTCTGTGCTGGGGTGTGTGTGCAGGGATGGAGAGGGGGATGTACATCTGGAGTGTGTGCGTGTGTGTGGTGGTGCGGGGATTGGAGGGCGGGAGGTGGCACGCGGAGAAAACACGACACGCGATGTGCCCCATTTCTCCCCTCTTTCTCCCCTACACCACGCATCCCCCTCCAGCCCACTCCAGCCACCCACCCACTTTAATCTCCCTCCCTCCCTCC